TAATAGAAGGCAATCGTTACAATCGTAATTCAGAACGGTGGACAGAAAGAGCGAAACCGGTGGACAATTGATATCGCCTATGGAAACTGATAAAGTCGATACAGCCAATTGGCAACGGGGCGAAAAATTACGGCGACCGCAGGTTTTATTTATTGTACCGGGCGACGAGACGAAGGGCCGTGTCAAACAACCAGATCCAATACACAATCGGCGAAAATCAACTCGTCTACAGGTGTATATATATCCATAGACGAAAACGAAAGTTCTTTAACGAGTGAAAAACTACCCGCTAGCCTTTTTCCGCGAAATATTACGTGGTTCGGGTACGAAATGGAATGCGAGGGGACAAAAGCGTGCCGACGAAACAAAAGAAAATTGAGGACAGGGTAATCGAATAATGAAGAATTGTGTACACGGATAGAAGGAAGTTCGTTACTCGTACAAACTGTAAATATGGATATGGATATGAAGCTTTGACTGTGACCAGTGGCAATTTAACCATTTTCGGGGAAAATTTATAACCGGAGAGGATAGAAGACTTAGGAAATCCTGGAAGCTTAAGTTTCGAAAACGTGGAAAATTTAGAAATTTTGGCAGGCTTAGAAAAGTAAGAAATTGAAAATTTAGTAACTTAAGAAAATTTGAAGAGCTAAATGGAAGCTTGGAAAGCTTAGAAGTTGAAGATTCAGAATAATTGAAAATTAATGCTCAGAAAAGTAGAAAATTTAAGATTTGGAAAGCTAAAAAATCTAAGATTTGGAAAATTAAAACTTAGAAAGTTTAAAAGGAAAAACCTTGAAAATTTATAAAATTCCAAAAATTGTGAAAGCTAAAATTTCAAAAAAAACCCAGAGCTGCAATATATCCCTCCACTAATGTAACCCACCTCATCTGATCAATATTTCCCAACACAGACCTCAAAATGAGAAAAAAATTCAAAAATAAAAGACAGAATCTTCCAAAAAAGAAAATCCTAAGAGACGGTATATCAACCCCTTGAAATGCTTGATGTGGTCAACAGGTTTAAACACCGCCTTAACTCGCGGTTCAAAATCAGATTTCTGTAAAAGGGGTAAAGTAAAGAGAGACAGATGTCCAGTTGGCCAGAAGGATGATGGCCTTGCATCTTTATGCAGATACAGACATCGCTGGTGGAGCTTTGTAAATTTTCAGGACGAGCACCTCTTTAGGGGTCGTGGCACACGCGCTTTGCGGATTTTTCAATCACGTTCCGTACTGACAGGATTAATAAAGCGGCCCGCGCTACGCGGAGAGTTTCCAGACTCATTTCATGCAGAATCGAATTGGATTTCCAGGTCGGGGTCGGTGTATATCTCCTCTCTATACCTGTGTGTATGTATAGATATGTATGTGTGTAACAGAGATACGACCAGCGCGCGTTCATCCCTTTGATGTGCCATGCTCGAATACCATCGAGCTTTCTCTCAGCGATACCGCTTTGCACTTTGTTACATCGCCACTAAATAATCGGTTTATAAAAATTCATAGCGAGTCTAGCGGAACGATGAGTTTATATCCTGCCACACGTTTGCGACCTGCGTCTGAACAATGGAAGGATCCTTCTTCTTGAATATGATAAATGTCCCTTCAGCTTCATCCTTTATTACTATACATTTAGTTAATGTGCAAAAAGGTGTTTTAACTCCACGTTTTATAGGGTTGGGCTATATATTAAATTCTAATGTTAGGAAAGCTAAGGGTGTATGGTCATTTGAGAGAATAATATATGTGAGAAGTTATGAAGAGTATTTCTTGCAAGTGGATATTATCCTGAGAATTGCATAAATTCTAGTCCTTTTAATCATTTTTCTTTTTATTGAGAAAGTAACAATGATTTCAATATTCTATTTTAAAAAATAAGTTGGATATTGTATAGTTTCTTTCAAAAGGTATGGATTTGTTACTATTTTGCAGACGTTTAAAATTTAAACGAGAACGTGGGGAAAGAGAAATTGAAAAATCCCAGCTGGGGTGTTCTTATCTGACCCCGTGGTATCAGTATTCACCGGACGTTATTCTAGCGGATTTATTCCATTCTCTGCAGAAGTATTTATGTTAAGGCTAAAAAATTAAACGGTCAAAGAATTCTGCGATTCGAAACCTATATTTTTATTTAAAAAAGCTAGAATAATAACTGATGGAAAGTGATGAAAAATATAATTATTGCAAAACCGCTATCAAATTTTTAATTTCAAAAATAAATAGTATAAAAAATGATCTATTCAAGTGAAATAAGACAATAAAATTTCTTAAAAAATTTTTATACTTTCAAATAGCTATCTCCACAAATTACTAATTAAAATTTCTACCCCTTACAGTTTTATCTACGAGAAGTTCAGCAGCCTCTTCATCGGACTCCAACTCCACGAAAGTGGTAGTAGAAGAAGAAGATGAGGACTCGTTGCCGGAGATAACACTAGACGAATTCAAAGAAAGATACAGGCGACTGATACCATACATGACCTTCTACGTAGCCAACAATTACATTAATGGACAAACTGTAATGCAAACGCCAGATTCCTCGTCGAAAGACTTCCAAACGAATCAATTAGTTCGAAACAATCAACCATACGTCCGAATAAATAATCTACCAAAGGAAGGTACCAACTATCGCGTGAACCAAGAAAAGAAATTCATCCCTTCCGTGCAGTTTGATCCTCGCGACGTGGGTGGCGACAACGACTACTTCACCCCCGTGAAATACACGTCTAAATACGCTTACGAGGATTATTCTGTACCCTATCATCTGTATCAAGATCAAAAAGCATCCTACCCAGAAATAACAACGGCATCCAGCCAGATCGCACGAAAGGAGAACAGGTACTACGCAAACGTGAGACCATTACGACCTTACACGACAAATGGCAGAGATCACTTGCCGAGGAAACAACCGGCTAAACCGATACACGCTAACGTTCAAGACGAGTACGTGCTAGATTATAATGTCAGGCCAACCGGTAATCCCGCCATTAATTACCCGGTTAAAGACATCCAAGGACATCGACACGTCCCACCCACCTACCCCGATGTACAAACACTGGAACCATTACCAGAGGAGAAACAACCCCCGGTGTTATCTCAACCGCGAAATCCGAACGTGAATCTACAGCAGATTGTAGAAAGCTTTCTGCTGAGCGAAAGATTACCAGAGATGTTGAATAAGGACAACCTGGATAACAGTCTGAGGACTTTAGTCGAGATACTAAATATTCTTCATAATACAAAGAAAGAGGAGCTGCCTCAGATTCAGGCACCTCCTATGATACCTCCTCCAAGATTGTCACAGAAGGTACATAATTATAAGCCACGACCTCAAACGAGGCCTAAAGTGATAACTGAGAGTAGGTTCCAGGCGACGCCGAATCCTCTCTACCTAACTGATGATCCTGATCGTTATAAAGCCACCAAGTTATCGTACGAAGAGGAAGAGAAGCCTAAACATTCTCAACAGAATTATAATACCAATGGTTTGATTAATAATAAAGTGGTGGAATATTATATTCCAGTGGTTCAGGAGATTCCGAGTAAAGAGAAAGAAATGTTTGTATCAACAATTAGGCCTCAGACTGATGGAGGTCCTGTTGATCATTCTTATGCTATCACAGAGGATCTCAGTGATGATGTTATGCAGGAGGAGAGATTCACTTTGCCATCAGTTGTTACTGATAGTCCAAGTTATGGTTACACACAGCCTAATGAAATTCCCAGCTCGCAGAAAACTAGCCCGCAGATAAAATATGGAGCTACCAGAGGGAAGGCTAATGTCGATTATCCGGCATATTCTAATATACCGGTTACGAGTTTCAGTTGCAAACAGCAGAGGTATAAGGGATTCTTTGGTGATCCAGAAACTGGATGCCAGGTAAGCTACCAGCTTGATTTGCTCAAATAGGAAAATTTAATGAAATTTTTATGATTTTGATTGCAGGTATGGCACTACTGCGACCTCAACGGTGGTAAATCATCATTTTTATGCCCGAATGGCACCATATTCAGTCAGGTAGCATTAACCTGCGACTGGTGGTTCAACGTGAAATGCGAAACAACGACTCAATTATACGTACTGAACGAACGACTGTATAAATATATTCTACCGGTAATGCCAAAGTTCCCGGAAGACTTCACCGGGCCGGAAGTCGATCGTTACTTGGAGCTCAAGTTCAAAGAGATGGAAGCAAAATTGAAGGAGAAGAAATTAAAGAAGCAGCAAGAAGAGAAGGAAAAGCAAAAAGATAAATCGCAAACCTCGAAAGAGAATGAATAATTGATTTATCTAGGGTGTAGTTAAATTATTGTACAATTGTTGCCATTATTTGTTATATAAATAGCAACAAACTTATTGTAGGGTGTGCTTGCTGCATCAGTGTATGTAGAGTAACTTTTAGAAAACTCAAAAATGTGCAATATTTTTATATTATAGGTTTGAGTGTGATTTTTTTATATTTAATACGCTATAAGGATAATTTGACGAAATTTGTTTATAAGTTAAAAGAAAAAATCAAATTGTATCACCGAGATATTATGCAAGTGTGACACTGAATTTAATTATTTCGCATAGAACAGTTAGAAATGCCAGAATCAAGCAAGTATAAAATAACTGATAATTATCAGTAAGTATTTTGTTTACCTCTAGTCATATTTGTACTGTTTACTTATTTATATCCAAACGTTGTATACATGCATATATTGTAAAGGACACTAATGGTCATCTTTATGCATATCACATATACAATATAATATCATTCATAAAGTCAAACTTGAAAATAAATTAACTGAAAATTTTCTGATCGAAAACAAAATGATTTATAATCGTTTGAACTATGTGTTGCGATAATTAATCTTTTAATTTTTAACTTGTGCTGTTACATATGTTAATCAAATTTATTTATTTTTAATTTTACAGTATACTTGTTATTGTATATGCAATATGGCAATCATGCTTTTCCATAATAAAGATACAAATTTCAGTAAAGACTTACCTTTTGCGCCTGACGAATCCTCTGCAGATTCTCGGTCACACACTTGGACACGTCGAAGAATTTTGGCAGCAGCACTTTGTTCTAAGAAACATAAAAATAAAAACATATTATTTCTCTTAAATGATACGTTAATAGAGCTTCGATTCTCAATTGTTTAAAATACAAACCTTCTCTAATAATGTCTTGTAATTATGTTTCTTGTGTAAGTGTAGCAGACAGTGTGAACACCCAGCCACTTCGCAATCTTCACAATAGTATCCTAATGGTTCTGTACATTCCTCTGAACAAGTATTTTGTACAGAGAAACAATTATCGTTGCTGCTGTCTGTCAGTATAATTTTTGTATGGCTTTGTAATGCCTTTCCATGAATCTGGCAAAACATATATTTTGCATTCAATATATTTTTATTATAATAATTTGTAGGAATTTTATATTTATTTTTATTTCATACATATTACAATCATAATTAAAACATAGTTGACATTGTATTTTCAGTGAAAAAAAGCTAAGCATACATGAAAATATGTAACAGTTATAGCAGAAACATACCTTTGAATAGCAAAGAATGCAAAATAATGCATTGCATTGTGGACATTTTATTGATGCTTGAATACCACATTCATGACAGAGATCTGAAAATGAACAACAATTGTTTTATTTTAACTGAAAAAATTACTCCAACTATGTAGTTCCTTATCTGCTACAAACCTCGTATGGATTGTTTTGCTTTTGACTTGGAACTGATTGACTTGGAAAAAGATATATCACAATCATCTGTTTGAACCGATCGATTATGAGATATGACCATTAATCCAAGGACATACATGTTCAGAGGTAAAGATACCTTCTGATCATCATCAAGTTGTGAAACGGTATTGCATAAAGGACAAGGTTCGCGAATGGATAATTTTGCACATTTATTACACATGACATGCCCACATTCCAATAGCAAAGGAACTAATCCACGCATAGGTACAAATTCTGAAACAGATGAAAGAAATAACATTTCTAAATATTCCTTTTTGAATGTTATTTATTTCATGAATAAATACATGTAACCCTGTATCATATAAGCAACATTGATTTATAAACACACATTATTCTAACCTCTATAAATTCATATTCATGTACTTTACATTTAATAATAAAATCAACGTGCAATCTAATAATTTCTCGCACACGTGTTCAAATACTCTGAATGTTAATTCACGTGTATAAAATTATATGAAAAAAAAAGAAATTTACAGAGAATAATATTTTAAACGATTCTATTAAATCTTATAAGTTAGTATTTCTGTGATCAACGATTAAGAATAAATAACGAAATCTTAAGAAGCCGGTACGCAGTTCAAAAAATTCGATTACCTTGTAAAAAAAACTGGTGTTTGCAATATGTACATGGAACGTTTCGAAGTTTTGTCGTAGGAGAACTGTAATAACGCGAACACTTGCTATCGTCTCGTAAGGCAATCATTTTGTTCATCAAAAACTGATCATTCGTACAATTACGTCTTTAAACGCGCACTATTCGTGACTTAATAATGTTTGAAGTTTACACGCCAAGACACGACCACGCGGAAACGCAAGCATCCAATAGCAGACATTTGAATGGGATGCTTAGTGCCGGTAGGGGTCACAGATGCTACATATTCGCATATAAATTCTTGAGTGGTAAATTTAAATACTTATTACACAGTAAATAGACTAAATTTATAAAAATTTTTATATAATAGAAGACATAAATGAGATATGTATTTTATTTTATTAAATATACGTACCTTAACAACACGTGATTGTATAGTACTGCAGTAGTCAATTTCCAATATCTGAAAATTCAAATTTATAAAGCATTTTATGAGAACCTGTAACATATTAAAATCTAATTCCTTAAAAATGAATTTAATTATAAATTAATCTGTTCACACGCGTTCTTTATAAGTTAAGGTAAGATGTACTACAATAATTTAAACGTTGTGTACATTAAAGTATTTATAACTTATGAAATGACTCCATTTTATTTTAAACCTTATAAATTAAAAAGAATATTAATAATATGTAATTTACCGAATGGAATAGGTTGAGTTTGGAGATATTTCAGAACCAAGTAGAATGATTCTACGCATCAAAAATGGCGTCAACGAGTCTACTTTCAAACTGCTTTCCCGCTAGAAGGTCTATAAGCTTCCACAGATCACGTGATCGGTATCTGTAAAACCGGCGCAATTACAGTCACGTGACTATGAGCAATTCGCGATCTTCAGGATAGATGCCGCAACAATCTTAAACGTCGTAGAATTTGGCAAAAACATAAAAAGCTGTATGGATAAACGGTGAAGTTATATTGGGTCCATTGGATTCTAGGCGCGGTCATAAGTAAAGATCCGTTATGATCCCACCCAACTCGATCGTTCTAGTGAGCAAGAGTATCCTGAACCTCGATCGCCATGTTCTAGTACTGTAATATAGAAAAACAATCCTGGAATGTTTCGTGTTCGTCGAATAAAAATTACGCAGAAAAACAAATAAGTGATACATGGAAAGGACACTTTTACCTTATGACGCATTGTGTGTCATCATAAGTATAAGTATTTGCAAATTGTATACAGATAAGGATATAACAAAAATGGATTATTTCTGACCATTCCCTTAAGAGCTCGTCATTGTTTAGAGAGTATAGATAGAAAATTCGATCTACAGTCCAGAGTCTATTTTCAGTGTTTATATAGCAGATATAATCCGTTTTACGCACCCAAAGTCTGTTACTCGGATTTCCAACATGGAGATACTGACCAATAACCAAGTTCATGGATCATTTTCTTTATGAATTATAAGGCTCTGTTATTTCGAGACTAGTTTCTACTAGCTTCACCAGCAAAAATTCCATCAAGCAACATTTAATTACAAATTCCATTAGATTAGATTCTCACGATAAAACATGTCCGTCATCGTTGAAAACAATCGTTCTTTTTATTTCGCGTGCCTTAATTTCCCCGATGCAGCATTACCGTCGACTGTATCAGAAATAATTGCAAAGACCGTTCGAAGAGTGGCTCGGAACGAAATTACCCGCGATCACAGTCGGTGATAATTTCAGTTTTCATCTTTACGTAATCGGTAGGATCGCAACTGGGGAATACGATTCCGGATCCCCAATCCTGGTTCTGTTTTTGCTTCTAGAACTTTTGGGAATCTCTGGCATTGAACGTGTTGATTATTGACATTTTCTTTTATACAGTTTCGAGGCTAATCCGAGTAGTTGAAAAAGTCTTCGAATTCTGAGATTGTAAATAATGTCCAGGAGCGTACCTCCTAGGCCGCGACCCACAGGTTGCATAGGCGAAGGCAAGACGAAAGAGGAAGCGAGATATCGGATTTAGGCCGTCTCTCGAAACAACAGTATGTATAGTAACATAGAACGGTGCGGTCTCTGGACTAGGCAAGCTGAGCGAAAGAGCTGTGGCAAGGTCTAGGCTGGCTGGTATTCAAGGTCGCGTGCACAGCGCAAAAGCCCCCGGATCTATCCCCGCCCCAGATTTCTAGCGCCCTTTACCTCTTTCCCTCCTGTCACTCTGTCTTTCGTCCGTGCACATTTCACCGACACCTCTCTCTTTCTCATACTCTCGTCGTCTCGCTTCTTCCCAGCGAAATCGTAGCTTTTTCTCTCTTCTTCCTGGGTGAGCTCACTTCCCGTAGCTCTCCCAAGCTCCCGTCTCGTTTCCTCCTCGACGCTACGTCTTTTTACGGCTCTCTTTCTCTTTCTATCTCGTCCTTTTCCGCGTGCAACATCGATTTACCATAAAAATTCCCCGAGCTCAACTCTATCGCTCGTCCATTACTTCCTGACTGGTGTTCCGGTGGCTGTCGCTACCGAATTCGCCGGTGTAATACGCAACAAAAGTATGATCGATCCGCGGAATAATTCAACGGTAAGCGTGGCTCGGTTGGCGTTGCTTGCGCTCGCTTATTTACATGCCTCGTGCATCCAGGTACAACGGCCACGTATACTATTGCCGTGGCGCGCGCTAGACGAAGAGGAAGAAGGATGTTATGCGCGTACGTATGTAGTTAGACGGGGAGTCAAGAAACGGAATTTCTTGTTCCGCGGGAACGAATTGTTCGAGTGCACCAGCTACCTTGCAGCTCGAGCATCCTCCGATGAGATAATTACAAGAGACAGAATAGGCGGATGTTTGTGGCGGAAAAAGGATAGTAATACTTTCCTAGATAGTGACGAGTATACATATGTTTTATTTATGCGAAGTTCGAGCTAGTTTAAGGTGAATTATCAAGCTGTACGTATGCAAACACCGTATCCAGTGAGAGGAGATCAAGTTCAATGGGAATTCATGAATGTTAATCGATTCGATACTCGAGCTAGCTGGTGCCGAATAGTAATCGTAAAGATAAACACTGTTCTCGGTCTATGTGTTTGCGAAACACTTGTTAATATCGTGAACTTACTGATCGATACAGAATTCAGAAATACGGCTAATCGAGCCTTTTGGGAGTAATAATATTCGAATCTTATCGCGTGCGCCCGATGATTTCTAATCCCCCAAAGCAAGCGGTAATCAGCTCACGCGATAGCGAAGAACAGTTGCTTCGACAATTATCGTGCAACTTTTCTAACATGATTCCATCGGAAGATAACAAATCTGAAAAATTGCCAAAGACCCGCAGTACAAATTGCTTTATGCTCGACGCTTTGACTGGGGGACTATATTTCCTATGCAAGGCAACTAGTCGGAGACGAACTGATTAGATTTCTAGAATTTCAGGTAATTGTGTTAAATCAAAATTCACGCTGCATATTGCTCGAGAAATCGATAAACCTTTGATTATCAAACAAATTGGATTTTTAATCAATGATTAAAGAGGTTAACGTAATGGCCGCCATTATAGTCATCCGTGACTGGAGCTATGAACTTAATTTAGTCAAATAATTAAGAAATTAAAGAAATTAACACTAGGACTATTAAATCAGTCAAAATAACTGGTTTCTGGAAAACAAGCGTACATCAAACGTCGGTAATTCTAATTTTAATATCATACTAGTTACACGAAGTAGCCAGTGGAATACAATTGCATCCTGAATAACAGCGATTAGAATGCTCTGTGCCACAACTGGTCGTTTCCACTGTGCCAGTCAACGTGTTAATAATTCATAATACAGTGTGCCGTAGAAGATACAGCTATTTCTGCTGTATTCTTCCTGTTAACAGCGCCGCCATTAAATATAAGCGCCATTTTGTTGATGTTCGCCATCACGATAATCATTTCTTTGACTCCTAGAGGGCCAATGACCCTAACCCTGAAATTCTTTCAACAAAAGAATGTTAAACTTCGGATTTTTTCGAGTGATCTTGGATTTTATCACGTAACTTTCCATAATATCCGAAACCGTTTCAGACGTTGCTCGTCTTTTTTCTCCTGCACCGTTCGGCGTCCGCTCGTATGCTCGCGAGCCAGCCAGACGTCTGCTTGTCCCGTTCGTTATTTCGTGAATAAATAATTGAACGAACATGCGCGAGCGTGCGAAAGCACGATGAAAATTTCAAATCGACGGCTTTTCGCCCGTTCACTGCTTCAAAATTATTCATCGATCTCTTTCTCGACGCCTGGACTATTCCGCTGGTTCACGGCTCTTTCCTTTTCCTCTCTGTCGTTCTCAGGTACCTCCTCGTCGTCGGGAAGCGTCAACGAGTCCTGCGACAAGGAATTCCGTGCTCGCGCAGCTACGATATTAGCCCGGTCGGAAACCTCGTTTCAGCTCGCACCTTTTGCCTCTCTGAAGCCTGCTCTCGCCGTGTTACAGGACTCGTTTCGCGGCTGTAAAACGCGTCTATGTATGGGTTTCTTTCAGTATAACGGCGAGCAGGGAAACAGCCAGTGAATCTCCATCGCGTAGAATCTAATCTGGGTCAATGGAATTGAGTTCAGAAGCGAGTCTGCTTATCGTGGACACTGCGGACAGGGAGTATGCTTTAGGGAACTGATGGTTTCGTTTTAATTTATTCTACCATCATCACTGTAAATATGAAATAAAATTTCCAAGATTGAAGCCTGACACATGGCTGGGTGTAACTAATTTCATATCGCCATTTCGCGGGTCGAATTCAAACGAGCTCCCCGTCCCGTTGCGTTACCATTAGCTGTCTGTATAAACCGTGGTGACGTTTCCCAGTGAATTTCAGCCGACATTCAGCCGGTTGTGTTTTAATATCGCGGCATTCGCGTTCGCGCGTCCACCTGTGTGCACGCTTGAAATTCATTTCACGAAACGCAGCGTCGAGTTCGAAAAAAGGAAATAAAAATAGGGGAAAAAAGGACGACGCGGCGTATCGTTGGCGACATTTTCAACGGCAGGTCGCGTTACACAAGCGCGTGGAATTACAATATCGGATTTCATTTTCCGTCATAGGACGAGATCTCACGGAGAAAGAGACGAGCTCCGAGTGAAATTCGTCGGACGGCGAACGGTTTCGCGCGTTCACCGCTTCGCTTGTCCTCCTTTGGAACCGCTGCGCGACGTTTATCCTGCAGCTGGGAAGAAGGAAAGAATTATGTCAGGATGCTTTCTTTCTGTATACTGGAAATTCAACCACCAATCTAT